ACCTTAGCCACTTGAGCCACAGGCGCAGAGCCAGGCTCTTCATTTTTTCATGAGAATTCAAGTTATTGTCTGGTGATCTTTCATTTCAGACTGAAGGACTCTCTTTAGCCTTTCTTCTAGGACAGGTCTGATAGCAACAAATTTTCTTTGTTTTTGTTGAATGCCTTACAATGCCTTCACTTCTTCATTTTTGAATGATTGTTCTGCTCAGTGTAGAAATTTTGTTGGCAGTCTTTTTATCTCATCACTTTGAATATGTCATCCCACTGCCTTATGACCTTTGTGGTTTCTGATGAGAAATCAACTGTAAATCCCATGGAGGATCCTTTATAGGGATTAGTCCCTTATTTCCATTTTTATGATTTTTTGTCCTTGACTTGTTTTTTTTTTGTTTTTTTTTTGAGACAGAGTCTTACTTTGTCACCTTCTGTAGAGTGCTGTGACATCATAGCTCACACCAACCTCAAACTCTTGGCCTTCAGTGATCCTCTGGCCTCAGCCTCCCCAGTACCTGGGACTACCAGTGCCTGCCATGAGGACCGGCTAGTTTTCCTATTTTTTAGTAGAGACAGGGTCTCACTCTTACTCACGCTGGTCTGGAACTCCTGAGCTCAAGCAATCCACAGACCTCAGCCTCACAGAGTGCTGGGATTATAGGTGTGAGACACCATGCCAGGACTTGTCTTTGGCTTTAAAAGGATGGATTATGATATGTCTAGTTGTGGCTCTTGTTGAATTTATCTTGCCTAGAGTTCTTTGAGGTTTTTAAATGTTTAATGTTTTCATCAGTTTGGCAAATTGTTGACCATTATTTCTTCAAATATCCTCTTTTCCTCTTTTTCTCTGTCTCCTCTCCTACCACTGCCATTCTCTGTTCCACAGGGCTCTGATGCTTGTTCATTTGTTTTTTGGTTTTATTTTTTGGGTTTTTTTGAGACAGAGTTTCACTTTGTCACCCCCAGTAGAGGATGTGATGTCATAGCTCACAGCAACCTGAAACTCTTGGGCTTGAGCTCAGCCTCTCAAGTAGCTAGGACTATAGGCACCCACCACAACACCCACCTAATTTTTAGAGATGGGCTCTCACTGTGGTTCATGCTGGGCTTGAACTCCTGCCATCCACTCAGCCTTGCAAAGTGTTGCTCATTTTTCTTCATTCTTTTTTCCTTCTGTTCATCAGACTGCATAATCTCAGTTGATTTGTCTTCAAGTTTTCTGATTCTTCTACCTGGTCAAATCTGTTATTGAGTTCCTCTAGTTAATTTTTTATTTCAATTGTTGTGCTTTTCAACTTCAGAATTTCATTTTTGTTTTGTTTTTTTTGAGACAGAGTCTCACTTTGTCACCCTCTTTAGAGTGCTACAGAGTCACAGCTCACAGCAACCTCCAGCTCCTGGGCTTAGGCAATTCCCTTGCCTTAGCCTCCCAAGTAGCTAGGACTACAGGTACCCGACCACAATGGCCAGCTATTTTTTTTCTTGCAGTTTGGCTGGGGCCAGTTTTGAACCCGCCACCCTCAGTATATGGGGCCAGTGCCCTACTCACTGAGTCATAGGCGCCACCCATTTTTAAAAATAATATTTTTTATTATTCTCTTTATTCATATTAGCTATATGATAGGACATCATGCTCATATTATCCTCTAGTTATTTAAACATAACCCCTGGCTCAGTGCCTATAGCTCCAGAGGCTAAGGCACCAGCCACATGCACCAGAGCTGGCGGGTTCAAATCCAGCCCGGGCCCACCAAACAACAATGAAAACTACAACCAAAATATAGCCAGGCGTTGTGGTGGGCACCTGTAATCCCAGCTACTTGGGAGGCTGAGGCAAGAGAATTGCTTGAGACCAGGAGTTGGAGGTTGCTGTGAGCTGTGATGCCATGGCACTCTACCCAGGGTGAGAGCTTGAGGCTCTGTCTCAAAATAAATAAATAAATAAATAAACAAACAAACAAACAAACATAGATCCCTTTACTTCTTCATATAAAATAGTTAATTACAAGTCTTTATTTCCTGGCTCAGCACCTGTAGCAGACTGGTTACTGAGCTAGCCACATGCACCAAGGCTGGCGGGTTGGAACCTAGCCTAGATTCCAACTGCAACAAAATAACAATAACAACTGTAACAAAAAAATAGCCGGGCCTCCAGCACCTGTAGTCTTCCCAGCTACTTGGGAGGCTGAGGCAAGAGAATCTCTTAAACCCAAGAGTTTGAGATTGCTGTGAGCTCTGAGACCCCAGCACTCTACTGAGTGAGACTCTGGGTGACATAGTGAGACTCTGTCTCAAAAAAAAAAAAGAAAAGAAAAGAAAAGAAAAGAAGGCTCAGCGCCTATGGCTCAAGTGGCTAAAAGCACTAGCCACATACACCTAACGTGGCGGGTTCAAATCCAGCCCAGGCCCACCAAAACAACAATGATGGCTGCAACCAAAAATAGCCGGGTATTGTGGCGAGTGCCTGTGGTCCCAGCTATATGGGAGGGTGAGGCAGGAGACTTGCTTGAGCTCAGGAGTTGGAGGTTGCTGTGAGCTGTGATGCTACATCACTCTACCCAAGGGGATAGCTTGAGGCTCTGTCTTAAAAAAAAAAAAAAAAGAAAAGAAAAAGAAAAGAAAAGAAAAATGATGTTATCACAAATATTAACAAATTCAGACTGGGTATGGTAGCTCAAGCCTATAATCCCAGCACTTTGAGAGGTTGAGGCAGGATAAGTATATGGGATCAGGAGTTTGAGATCAGCCTTGGACAACATAGTGAGATCCTGTCTATAAAAAATAATTTTTAGGCCAGGCGTGGTGGCTCATGCCTATAATCCCAGCATTCTGGGAGGCTGAGGCAGGTGGATTTCCTGAGCTCACAGATTTGAGACCAGCCTGAGCCAGAGCAAGACCTCATCTCTAATAATAGCCAGGCATCACGGCAGGCACCTGTAGTCTCAGCTACTTGGGAGACTGAGGCAAGAAAATCACTTAACCTCAAGAGTTTGAGGTTGCTGTGAGCTATGATACCACTCAAGCAAGGGTGACAAAGTGAGGCTCTGTCTCAAAAAATAAAATAAAATAAAATAGAAGAGAATAGGTTGCGCCCATAGCTAGGTGGGTAGGGTGCAGCCACATACACTGAGGCTGGAGGGTTCAAACCTAGCCTGGAGCCAGCTAAAACAACAATGACAACTACAACAACAACAACAAAAATAGCTGGTTGTTGTGGCAGGCACCTGTAGTTCCGGCTACTTGGAGGCTGAGGCAAGAAAATCACTTGAGCCCAGGAGTTTAAGTTTGCCGTGAGCTGTGATGACACAGCACTCTACCCAGGGCAACAGCTTGAGAGTCTGTCTCAAAATAATAATAATAATAAAATAAAAGTTTCTTTTGGTATTTTTTATTTTAATGCAGATTCCTATATCAAGCCTGAGGGACACAGTTCTGGAACTGGCAGTGTTTGATCAACACAGAAGAAAGTTTGATAATTTCAGTTCACTAATGCTAGAATGGAAATCCTCTAATGAAACACTAGCCCATTTTGAAGATTATAAGACAGCAGAGATGGTAGCAAAAGATGATGGCAATGGGCAAACCCGGTTACATGGTAATGTGAAAATTTATGAATTTTTTTCCATAACTGCCTTATTATTACACACTGCGTATTTTCTTATGGGTGAGGATTTTATTTTGGATTTTATATGTCACTTTTCATGTTTTTCTTTCTTTCTTTCTTTCTATTTTTTTTTTTTGAAACAGACTCTCCCTCTGTTCTCCCAGACCAGAGTGCTGTAGTATCCAACTAACTCACAGCTCCAGCGATCCTCCTGCCTCAGCATCCCGAGTAGCTGGGACAACAGGCATCTGCCACAACGCCCAGGCTATTTTTTCTATTTTTAGTAGAGATAGGATCTCACGCTTGTTCAGACTGGTCCAGAACTCCTGAGCTCAAGGGATCCTTCTGCCTTGGTCTCCCAGAATGCTGGGATTACAGCCAGGAGCCACCACCCAGACATTTTTTTTTTTTTTTGAGACAGATTCTTGCTTTATCACCCCATATAGAGTGCCAGGGTGTCATCATAGCTTACTGCAACCTCAAACTCCTGGTCTCACATGATCCTCCTGCCTCAGCCTCTCAAGTAACTGGTACTACAGAGATCTGTGTCACCATGCCCAGCTAATTGCCTAATATTATGGAATAATAATTATTTTATACAATAATAATTGTATATTAAATAAATAATAATTATTTAATATACAATAATATTTATTGAATGGCTACTAAATATAAGGCCCTCTGCTGGGCACTAGAGATAGAATAGCGAATATGATAGGCATGGCTTCATACACAAACAGTCTGGTCATAAAAGTGACTTTTTTTTTTTTTTGAGACTGTCTTCAGTCACCTGGGGTTCAGTTTCATGGCATTATAGCTCACAGCAACCTCAAACTGTTGGGCTCAAGCAATGCTCCTGCATCAGCCTCCTGAGTAGCTGGGACTACAGGTGCCCACCAAAACACCCGGCTAGTTTTCCTATTTTTTAATAGAGACCGAGTCTCTCTTTGCTTGAGCTGGTCTACTATTCCTTTTTGTTGTTGTTGTTGTTGTTGTTGAGACAGAGCCTCAAGCTGTCCCCCTGGGTAGAGTGCTATGGCATCACAGCTCACAGCAACCTCCAACTCCTGGGCTTAAGCAATTCTCTTGCCTCAGCCTCTCAAGTAGCTGGGACTACAGGCACCACCACAACACCCTGCTATTTTTGTTGTTGTTGTCATTGTTGTTTGGCAGGCCAGGACTGGATTCGAACCCGCCAGCTCCGGTGTATGTGGCTGGCACTATAGCCGCTGAGCTACAGGCACCAAGCCATCCCAGACTTTAAATATTACAACTCTGTTAGGTACTCTGAAGGGAACTATGGGGTGCCTTAGGAGCTTATAACAGGGAGACTGAACCTAGTCTAGAACAGAGAAGGCTACCCTTGAAAAGTGACATTTATGCTGAGACCCAAAGGGGTTTGTAGGAAGAGGAAAGAAGAATGAGCTGAAAGTGATTGAGACTGACTGGGAGAAATGTCAAGAGGCATAAGAAGAGGTTCCAGACATTTAACAAGCCCTCATCAAGCTTGTGTCACATTTACTGATGTCCTAGTTTTGAAGGCAGGACAACTGGCCAAAACCAGAGTCAAGGTAGGCAGGGACTACACGAGGGCATAGCTACCAGCAGGCATGCTTCATCATGGACCATTAACATAATGATCTACCACAAATAAATCCCAAAGGTGAAGAAGAAAGTGGTTCAAAGACTGACTTTAAGGTTTTAAGCATGAGCATTTGGGTAGATGGTAAAATCATTCAATGGAATAGGGAACACTGGGCAATTGTTACCTTCTAAATATTTTTTAGTTTTATCTCTTTCTACTTTCATCACTAATGTCCTTATCACCTCTATTCTGAATTAGAAAAGTAGCCTCCTAACATTTTTTTTTTTTTGGACACAGAGCCTCAAGCTCTTACCCTGGGTAGAGTGCTGTAGCGTCACAGCTCACAGCAACCTCCAACTCCTGGGTTTAGGTGATTCTCTTGCCTCAACCTCCTGAGTAGCTGGGACTTCAGGTGCCTGCCACAATGCCTGGCTATTTTTGTTGCAGTTTGGCCAGGGCCGGGTTTGAACCTACCACCCTCAGTATACGGGATCAGCACCCTACCCACTGAACCACCAGGCGCCACCCCTAACATTGCTTATGTTTCTGCTATACCCTATCTTCTACACCACTAGATAATCTTACTAGAATTCAAATCTGATTATCTTTCTTAAAATCCATTTGCTGGTAGGTATGATGGCCTATGCCTGTGATCCAGTACTTTGGGAGGCTGAATAGGGAGGCTCACTTGAGGCCAAGAGTTCATGACCAGCCTGGGCAACACAGCAAGACCCTGACTCTACAAAAAATAACAAATATTAGCTGGGCATGGTGCTGCTTGCCTGTAGTCTCAGCTGCTCAGGACCCTGAGGTTGGGAGCATCACTTCAGCCCAGGAGTTCATGGCTACAGTGAGCTGTGATTGAGTGCCACTGCACTCCTTTCTAGGTGTCAGAGTTATATCCTGTCTCTAGAAAAGAGAGGAAAGGAGAGAAGAAAAAGGGAAGAATGGAGAGAAAGAGACATATAACTAAAGCAATATTAGATTATGGAAGACTTCAAATGCTAGTTTAAGGAGTTTGAATTGATCAAGGAAGAAGAGTTCACCATGTAAATTTTTTTTTTTTAATTTGGCAGGTGCTGGGTTTGAACCTGCCACCTCCAGCATATGGAACCAGCATCCTACCCTTTTGAGCCACAGGTGCTGCGCCACCATGTATATTTTTGAAAAAAATGACTGATAGGACATTTATAAATATGGAACAGTTTTATTTTATTTTATTTATGTATTTATTTACTTAGTGACACACTCTCACTCTGTTGCTCTGGGTAGAGTGCTGTGGCATTATCACAGCTCACAGCAACCTCAAACTTTTGGGTTCAAGCAATCCTCTTGCCTCAGCCTCCTGAGTAGCTGAGACTACAGGTGCCCACTACAATGCCCAGCTATTTCAGTAGGAACAGAATCTTGCTCTTTCTCAGGCTGGTCTCAAACTCCTGAGCTCAAGCAATCCACCTGCCTCGACCTCCCAGAGTGCTGGATTACAGAACAGTCTAGAAGAGTAAAAGGCCCAAAGGACTATCCCTTTTATTTCTCATTTCCATTTGATGCTCTTCACCTTCTTTTTTGTTTATTTTGAGACAGAGTCTCACTCTGTTGCCCTGAGTAGAGTGCTGTGGCATCATAGCTCACAGCAACCTCCAACTCTTGGGCTTAAGTGATTCTCTTGCCTCAGTTTTTCTATTTTTAGTAGAGACAGGGGTGGGGATCTCACTTTTGCTCGGGCTGGTCTTGAACTCATGAGCTCAGTCAATCCACCCACTTCAGCCTCCCAGAGTGCTAGGATTACAGGTGCAAACCACTACACCTAGCCCTCATTTCCATATGAAAATCCAGGAAAAATTTCCCTGTATACTATTGTCAGGCTATTTTTGGACTCGTAGACCTTCAAAGCTGAAAAGAATTTTAGATTTTTCCTTGCCTAATCTTTTATTTAAGGAAGGAACTGAGAGACAAAGAGTAGCTCAGAGTCACATAGGAATATCAAGACAGGATCAGTATAAAAACCCAGTTTTCTATTTCTTGTGTACTTCCCCATTTAGTGTTTTTCTTCACTGTAATATAACACTGTTTGGGCTCGGCGCCTGTGGCTCAACCGGCTAGGGCGCCAGCCACGTACACCTAAGGTGGCGGGTTCAAATCCAGCCCGGACCCGCCAAACAACAATGATGACTGCAACCAAAAAATAGCCGGGCGTTGTGGCGGGCGCCTGTGGTCCCAGCCACTTGGGAGGCGGAGGCAGGAGACTCGCTTGAGCCCAGGAGTTGGAGGTTGCTGTGAGCTGTAATGCCACGGCACACTATCCAGGGGGACAGCCTGAGGCTCTGTCTCAAAAAAATATATATATATAACACTGTTTGGAAAAATTGGGGCATAATTTGGCTTTCTCAAGACACTTTTGTATTCTACATGATATTGTTTCTCATAGAGTATTTTTCTGCATGTTTCCAGGTCATCAGGTCCTAAAAGTACATCAAATAAAAGGGATTGTACTAATTGGAGTCAATTTTGTGGGCTATTTAGAGAAGAAAAGCCCCAAGGTGAGTGGAAATTGTGATATAAGAAACAAATTAGAGGGCGGCGCCTGTGGCTCAATGAGTAGGGCACTGGCCCCATACACCGAGGGTGGCGGGTTCAAACTCAGCCCTGGCCAAACTACAACAAAAAATATCTGGGCGTTGTGGTGGGCGGCGCCTGTAGTCCCAGCTACTGGGAGGCTGAAGCAAGAGAATCACCTAAGCCCAGGAGTTGGAGATTGCTATGAGCTGTGATGCCATCGCACTCTACCCAGGGCAATAAAGTGAGACTCTGTCTCTACAAAAAAAGAAAGAAACAAATTAAATAATTGGAATTTTAGGCTCTCCTTTAAAAGTTATTTACAACTGGGCCCAGTGCGGTGGCTCACGCCTGTAATCCTAGCACTCTGGGAGGCTGAGGCACATGGATTACTTGAGCTCAGGAGTTCAAGACCAGCCTGAGCAAGAGCAAGACCCCATTTCTACTAAAAATACAAAAATTAGCAGGGTGTTGTGGAGGGCGTCTGTAGTCCTAGGTACTTGGGAGGCTGAGGCCGGAGAATCGCCTGAGCCCAGGAGTTTGAGGTTGCTGTGAGCTATGTATGATGACACTACGGCACACTACTGAGGGCAACTAAATGAGACTCTGTCTCCAAAAAAAAAAAGGCAAGAAGCTGTTTACAGCTGATATATATCTCAGAACTGTGCATATCTGTGACTCTTTTTTTGTTTGCTTGTTTTGCTTTGTTTTATTTTTGGTTTTGGTTTTGTTTTGAGACAGAGCCTTACTTTGTCACCCTCGGTTGAGTGTCATGAGTTTTAGCAACCTTAAAATCTTGGGCTCCAGTGATTCTCTTGCCTCAGCCTCCTGAGAAGCTGGGACTACAAGCACCCACCACAATGCCCGGCTATTTTTAGAGACAAAGTCTCGCTCTGGCTCAGGCTGGTCTCAAACCTATGAGCTCAGGTAATCCACCCGACTCGGCCTCTCAGAGTGCTAGGATTACAGGCGTGAGCCACCATGCCCAGACCCATGTCTGTGACTCTCATTTCTGGCACCTGAGAGAGTACTGGATTCTTCTCTCAGGACATGAGGAATTAGAAATTTATATTTACCTTTATAGTTTTTATTACATTTCTAGGAAATTTCCAACTTGCCCAGATCTGCAGCTGTGGAGCTGCTCCTGGTGGATGATGTGACTGTACTTCCTGAGAATGCCACCATCTATAACCACCCTGATGTGAAGGTAGAAGCTGTACAGGTCCAGTTATGTGGAACCATATTGGAGAGGAGGTTATATGGGCCAGGTGCAGTGGGTCAAGCCTATAATCTTGGAGGTCGAAGCTCACAGGTTGGAGAGCAGCCTAAGCCAGAACAAGACCTCATCTCTAAAAATAGCTGGGCATTGTAGTGGATACCTATAGTCTCAGCTACTCAGGAGACTGAGGCAAGAAAATCACTTGAGCCCAGGAGTTTGAGGTTGCTGTGAGCTATAATGCCATAGCACTCTATCATGGGCAACAAAGTGAGACTCTGTCTCCATCTCCAATAAATAAATAAATAAATACATAAATAAAACTCACAGTACAAGAGAGAGGGGAAGGGTTGGATAAATTCCTACCAGTGGGTTCACTGTGGGGCATATAACACACTACCTACAAATTAGACTTTAACGTTACAAACGCAAACTACAGGTTCAGCGCCTGTGGCTCAAGTGGCTAAGGCGCCAACCACATACACCTAAGGTGGCAGGTTCAAATCCAGCCCGGGCCCACCAAACAACAATGACAGCTGCAACCGAAAAAAAAAAAATAGCCAGGTGTTGTGGTGGGCGCCTGTAGTCCCAGCTACTTTGGAGGCTGATGCAAGAGACTCGCTTGAGCCCAGGAGTTGGAGGTTGCTGTGAGCTGTGATGCCATGGCACTCTACCCAGGGGGACAGCTTGAGGCTCTG